AAGTGTTCACAGATGAATAAGGCGAGATTAAATATTGTTTAGCTAAGGGCAAAACCCAAGAAAGAAATGTTTGCAATTTTAGGAGATGTTAACAATGGCTATATATCTAAAAGGCCACATTAATAAGAAATACCAGAGTACAATAGAAAACAAGGAAAGTTGCTTTCCACTTCATTATTTCAAAGTTTCATTTGTACAAAAGTGGGTATACATTAATGAGCACATGCCTTGTCTATCTTAGGTGGACACAAAAGGTTTTAATAGATCCTGATTTGGGGTATCAATGGGTATGAGGGATTACTTTATCAAACTGTAACTATAATGTGTATTAATTTATGATGACCTTTTTATGATCATATTCTGAAAGAAACGATGTGGTGATTAGGTCATCATTATCCCACAAGAACTGCAGTGGTGATTAGACACTACTAGGGGATACATTTGGGGCACAGGTTTTCTCTGTCCATCTCCTCCCCTGCCTCCCCATTGCACGCGCGCAAGTGTGTGTGTGTGTGTGTGTGTGTGTGTGTGTGTGAGAGAGAGAGAGGCTAGGGGAGGACAACCACACTTCTTCTTCTATTGTTCTCCATTTTATTGCCTTAAGATAGGTATCTTCACGAACATAAACCTTTCTGTTTCAACTAGCACTGGCCTTCCAGGTAAGTCAGCCATGCCCGGCTTCTGTGTGGGTTTGGAGATTCCAACTCAGAACCTCTGGCAGATATCCTGACCCTCCCAGCCATCTCTTCAGCCTTCACTGACACTCTTCTTTCTTTTTGGTGAAGCCTCAGCTCTTTTATGAAACTAACATGAGTGCTTACTATAAGGAGCAAGGAAAATTGAATAAGCTATGTGAATCCTCTTCATTTTTTGCATGGGTGGCTCACTCCTGGCAACTGCTCTGAAGACAATCCTTTCCTAGGTCTTGATTGTTCGGTTTCAGTCTGTGTTGAAGCAAACAGACCGACTGGTGAGTATCGTGCAGGGAAGCAGGGAAGGAGTTACAGCACCAACCCAGCTCATCTGCCTTCCTGCGGCTTCTTGCACTTTCATTCGGACACAATTTTCAAGAAAGAATCTCTGCATGTGAGAAGAGAAAAGGCCCGAGAGATCACGTAAATACTCTTTTAGCTTTTTGCTCTTGCTTTTCACAAGCTTTCTTTCAATGTGTTTAATTTTCATTCTCTTGTTACAAGAAGCTGGATGTGATTACATACTCCTTTAGTCTCAGAATTTTGAAGGCAGACTCAGGTGGGATCTCTGGGAGTTCCTGGCCACCCGGGGCTATACAGTGAGACCTTATCTGAATGAATAAATGAATGAATGGATGAATGAATAAAATATGCCCTTTTAGGTATGTAAGGAGAATTATATCTCAGTGAATTTTCTTGTCTTTAGTTTTCTTTAAAGACAATGACCTTTCCCTATGGCTGAGAATTCTTTTTGTTTTAAAATGTATTGGTGTTTTTCATGTATGTATATTTGTGCACCACATGCATGTAATATCCAGGGAGACCACTGAAAACCTCAGGCACCCTGGGTCTGGAGGTACAGAGGGCTACAAGCTGCCATCTGGTGCTGGGAATTGAGCCTGGGTCCTCTACAAGAGCAGCCAGTGCTCTTGACTGCTGAACTCTGTCCAGCTCTGGATTCGTTACATGTATAAAACAGAAAAAAAATCCATTGCTGACTTTTAATAATAATTTTTTCAGATCTTTTTAGTCTTATGTTTTGTAGTATTAGAGATCAAACTCAGGGCCTCATAATGCTAGGCAAATGCTCTGTTAGCTACCCATGCTCCCAGATCTGCTAGTTTTTTTTAAATTAAGATTTTTTAATACAATCTTTCTCTTCATTTTACATAGCTATCCCTATTCCTACTCCCTTCCCTCCTCCTGCTCCACCCCCCATCCACTCCTCAAAAGGGGTAGGGCTTCCCATGGGTTAGAACTTGATATTTCAAGAAATTGTGCCTCTGGTTAGAACAGAAAACAAAATACAATTTTCAACATTCAGAGTATTGAGAGGATGGTATCCATGGGAAATGCCATTGCTCCCCTCAAATCCCCCAGCTTCACTTAAAACAAAACCAGACCCAGCATCTCACTAGACTCTCTAGCCCCAGCTTGGCTTTGGACATGTGGTCTTCCTGTCCCAGCCTCCTGAGTGCTCAAGTTGATGCTCCTAACCACTAGGATTGAAAACTATACAACTGCTTATTAGTCTCCTAGTAATATTTTTGCAGGTGACAACTTTGATGAGTGGATAATAAAAATGGTCACCCTAATTACTTTTCTGGGAGTTGAATGCCAAGTCTTCAGAACCTTTAACACTGAGGCCCTACACTCTACCCCCAGATCCTGCTAAAGACTGCATGGTCATGTGTTCCATTAAAGGTCGTGAAGACAGATACATTGACTATTGGTGGTCTTACTTCCAAGTCCCTTTCACCTGCTTCTTTATACTATAAACATCCTCATTCCCTACCCCCAGGGAGACAGGCTCAATACCTGGGTCTGTTTGCTCTTTGTCTGGTAAGCTTGAGAATAAACTCTTGAAAGACATAAGCCATTAGCACACTGTATTCTGGGCAAGATGAGCTGCCTGGTGCCAAGATATCTCTTGAAGAAGAACTAATGTCATCATAACATTTTTCCTGAACCCATGTCCTCTGCAAGAGCAGTAATTGTTCTTTACCACTGCTGAGCCATTGTCCATCTGTCTATCACCCAATATCATGCATAGGTATTCTATATGACAAGGGCTACCTTCTTCTTGATATCTTTAGTCCTATAAAATCTTTTCTTTTATTATTTATTTATTTGTTTATAAAAATTTCCACTTCTTCCCCTCCTCCCAATACCCTCCCACTCCCCCCACTCCCTCTCCTCCTCCCTCTCCAGTCCTAAGAGCAGTCAGGGTTTCCTGCCCTGTGGGAAGTTCAAGTTTCTCCCCCCTCCCTCCAGGTCTAGGAAGGTGAGCATCCAAACAGACTGGGATCCCAAAAAGCCAGTTCATGCAGAGGAAACAAGTCCCAGTGCCATTATCAATGGCTTCTCAGTCAGCCCCCATGTCAGCCACATTCAGAGAATCCGGTTTGATCACATGCTCGTTCAGTCCCAGTCCAGTTGGCCTTGGTGAGCTCTCATTAGATCAGTCCCCTTGTATCAATGGGTGACCGCACCCCTCGCGGTCCTGACTTCCTTGTTCATGTTCTCCCTCCTTCTGCTCCTCATTTGGATCTTGGGGATCCAGTGCTCCAATGTGGGTCTCTGTCTCTATCTCCATCCATCGTCGGATGAAGGTTCTCTCTGATAATTTTTTTTCTTTTTAAAACTGAATTCTACTGCTGCTACCTCCTGTTAGAAAATAAAAATAGATGATGTTTGAAGGTGCAATGCTCCCTAAACTCCTCAAGTGTCCCGCCATCTTCAGAATCTCCAGCAATATTGTTTATATGAGAGGAAAGTGTGCTCTTCAGCAGAAAGACCCGAAGTTTACAGAAAAGAAGAACAAGAATCTCCCAGGGAAACTAGGTCCTTTTTATTGAATTCAGCTCATCCTTCAGGTATCCAGACAGATAGACTTAGACTCTCACCATGCACAACATCCTGATGGCAAAGGTCCGAAGACATAAAGTCCAGAGCTCCGATTCCTGGAGAAGAGGCTTGGCTTTCAGTATTTCCTCCCCTTTAGGGGATTTCAGGATCTCTTTCTCCTCCTACATCTTGCCTGCCGGAACCTAGAAGCTCTGTCTATGAACTCTGGACTCCCAAGCAGCTCTCCCCACCTTCGTCCACAGGTGGAGCTGAGGCAATTAAGTTCTGTGGCTTTAAGAAACAAACGCCACCCTGCACGGACTCCGTGAAGAGCCAGCAAGAACTTTCCTGCTCTTAGCCAGAGGTCACCAACTGGCGACCTCCGACTAGAGTCTTCTGAGTCCCGAATTCCAGGCAGAAAAGTGTCCTTGAACTCTGAGCACGAGGAGTAGTTGCCTTGGACTCCGTACCTTAAAGTGGCCTTGAACCAGCGAGCAAAGGTGACTTTGCAGCTGGCTTGCAAAGATGGACTTGAATTCCAAGAGCAAAAGTTTCCTCGATACTCAAGCAAGGAAGTGGCTCGGAGCCCCGCCACGCAAAGGTGGCCTTGAGCCTTGGAGCAAGAGAGGGAGTAAAGACAGTCGCCTGACGCCAGGGGATTAGCGAAACTGCAGGGTGGAGCAGGCAGGGCCCTTGGCAAAGAGCAGTGGGCGGGGCCACATCGTGCCCGCCTCCCCCCTCACCACCACCCCTCCGGGAGCAGCTCCTGGAATAGGCTTGTCGCTGCTAGGCACCCAGACACCATGGGGAAGCTAGTGGTGCTGACCTTGCTGGGGGCCAGCTTGGCCTTAATAGGGGAGAGGCTTCTGACCTTGAGGTGAGTGGACACCTCCTGGGAGACGTCTTCAGATTTTTTTTTTTTTTTTCTGGTCCAAGTTAGGTCAAGAACAACCTGCTTCCAACTTCCTAGCGGGTGCAAAGGAGCATTTTGGGAACCAGTTCTCAGTGCCACCGCCTCAACTTCTCCTTGAAAATGACTCATTATGAAAGGGGACTGCTGCTTGCCTTTCTAGGCTGCTGGGGTAGGAAAGCCCACACTGGATCGCTGAAGGTTAGGTACCTTTTCCAAGTCTTCTGATACATTGTCCCGGGAAACACTGAAGTCCTGTAGAAGTGCTGGACTTGGGGGAGAGGACCATCCTTGCCGCTAGGTGTTTCTAGCTGACTCAGACCCTGAAAGTGCAGGCTTAGGGATTCCGTGCCACACTAGAGGAAGAGAGCTGAACCCTGCGGAGGGAACAGGCTTGAGGTTGGTTTACATTTTGAAGCAGCAGGTTCAGCAGAAACAGCCATTCCAGAATCATCTCAAGCAAAGTAAGTTTGGTCTGAAAGATTTTTTTTTTTAAAGTTTTTTAAAGTCTTATTCCTAGGTGGGGCTAAGGCCTTCGCCTGTCATCCTGCTTTGATTCTTTCCGTAAGGAGAGACTGGTCTCAGTTCACTGCTGCAATCTGTTCAGACACCTGATGTCTGCTGGCAACACTTTCTAGCCCAGCTTGGGAGTGCTTCTTGTTTCTCTTGCTCCCCAAGCAACAAGTGACAGGATCGTCAAATGGTAAATTTAAGGGTCGGACGTTCACACACCTGTGTCTAGTACAGCTCGGGTCACAACTGCGCCTCCACCAAGTTCCAGCCCATCCCTTAAAGCACTTTTTATAAGTGATTGAAAGAGAAATCTAACTTTTCTTGAATATAGCTTAGTGAATATTTCAAATTATACCTAATATTTAGAAGAGCATTTCACTGCAAAAAAAAAAAGGAACATTGCTGAAAAGTCAGCTGGCTAGCAGTTTGATGGGGGTGAGGCCCATGAATGAACATATTTTGAGGTAAGTCGCCATAAGCTGCTGAAAAGAACAAAGGGTAGACTAGAGTTACAGGTTTAGCTCCTTGGAGACCTCACAGAAATAAGGAGGGCAAAGGAAACGAGAGGAGGCAAAAGGAAGAAAGTGCAGATTTATAATCAATAATACCTAGGAAAATGATCCAATGCTGTTTTATTTATTTAATGAACAATATGGATCGTTTCTACCTAACATCAAGTGGGGTCTTATATTTGGTAAAGAATCATGCTTTATTCTTTCAGGGTTAATTGGGAAGTCAGCTTGTGTGGGCACAGTGCTTATGTAAGAGGTATTCTGTAACTAGGAACCAAAGGCATTCATTGCCTGCTTGTCCCTTATGCCATCCATAAAAAGAGGAAAGGCACTGGAGGGCTTCCATGCCTGTGCTGACATTGATCTGGGATGCCACACTCTGACCTCTGTACTGGTTTCTCATGTTGATTTCCATTCTCTGCAGAGAAAGACTTAGTTCAACACGGGAGATCAAGTCCACAGAACCTCAGCACTGCCACCTGATTGAAGGCCTCGGTAAGCACGCAACAGGACCGAGACAAGGCATTTCTCCGTCATTTCCCTAGGGCTGGGAAATGATTTAATTACAAATTACTCCGTGGCGGGCAGCGTGACTTCTGCACATGACTGTTCCTAGACTACCTCATGCCAAGGGCGTTTCTCCATCTTCTGATGAATTTCACTGCTTCTTGACTGCTGCCCCCACCCCCCCATTTTTAGTTCTCCCTTTTTTGACAATCTTGACTTCAGGTATCCTTTCCTTCCACATTTTCTGGCAAGCACTTCTCGTATGTACTTTCAGTCTGCCTAGATGTCATTCAAAAATACTAATCTCAACTTTGCAATCACATCTCCAGCCTCTCAAATTGAAGGTTTTCTTTCTCCATCACTAAGGCCAGAGTTGTTTATTTAGAGTCAGACTTAATTGACATTAGCTTCACACTCCTGCCATTCCCTCCATGGTTCCTCAACCCACAGCTGGCCCGTTATCCCTTGGAGGTTCAGTTAAAATTCTTGGGAGCATTGGTTTCCTCTTTGTCCCTCCTGCTTCCACAGAAGACCAGTGGGCAGCAGTCTCCCCTGTTCCCACTGGCCTCACCTAATTGGCTCTGCTCCTATGTTTACTTGGGCTGCAAGCCTCCAGTTTTGCTACCGGAAAATAAAACTAAAAGCCAGCCAGATTCTCCTCACTGTCCGCCAAAAGTGTCCTGTGCCTTTCTCACCTGCGCTGTGGCATTTTCTCTCCCACGGCTGCTCACTGAAGTCAGCTGCAGCCTCTTCTTTCTCCTTCTTACTCTTACAACATTCTGAGACTCAGCTGACTCCACGCCTACACCTTGGTTTGTTTCTGAGCTGGTGTTCTCTTTCATTATCAGATTGCAAACTCCCTAGGGCCAAAGACCGTGACTGATTTATTGGTATGAGTTAAAACAGCTTATTTTATGGTGTGGATTTGTATTTTCTTTTTTCTTTGTATTTATATTTAAAAAACAAAACAGAAAAAGAAGCTCTTTAGTTTTGGTTTCCTATTCTTTTACCTCTTCCCAGTTTCCAATCCTTTGTTTTTATTTTTGAAACTATTTCTCAAGTATCTCAGGCTGCCTTTGAACGCAATACATAACCAAATACGAACTCGGATTTCTCATCCTCTTGCCTCTACCTCCCAAGTGCTGGGGTCATAGGGCTGCCCTCCAGCATCTCGTTTGCATGGTGGTAGGAATAGGATCCATGGCTTCCGTCAGTCTGGCAAGGACTGTTTCACCTGAACTACCTCTCCAGCCCTGTTCCATGCTCCTAGAAATGGATTATGCTGCCAGATGGAAACTAGAGACTTGAGACAACCCTAGGCTACCATGGTGTTTTAGAAACCAAAGTGTTCAAGAGGTTCGGCTGGGGAGAGTGAGCGCATATGTGGATCTCCGAGATTAGTGGGCCCTCTCCACCACCTTACAGAGTTTTGGGAAGGAGCAAACACGAGATAGAAGCTCACAAGTCATCTTCAGAGCAGTTTGACCTGTGCCCTGTGTGTCACAGCCTAAACAAGGGCTGTGCGCATGACACTCAAGTTACAGAATTTAAAGGGGCTACAGAGGACTTGGGGGGCTGCATTCTGCTTGATTTTAAGACACACCTCCTCAGCTCATAAGAAAAGTGTCAACAGATTCTCAGTAGTTTCTCAGTTTGGTTTCTTTTCAGTCTTATAAAATGAGGCCCTGAGTTCAAGCCCCAATAAATGACAAAAGAAACACACACACACACACACACACACACACACACACTGACACACACAGAGTTCCTCATGGTGTGGTGGCCCCCCAAAGCATAAAAATTATTTTTGTTGCTACTTCGTAACTGTAATTTTGCTACTGTTGGGACTCGTAATGTGAACAGTGCTGGAGACAGAGGTTTGCCAAAGAGGTCATGTCCCACAGGTTGAGAAGCAATATTGAGAATAATATTCTCTCTCACCGTACATATATCTGAAAACGTGAGCATGCCAAGCATTTTAGAGGGATAATTAGATTAGAGGATTTTGCTGTCTACTCTAATTCTCAAGTTATATAAATCAACTGAGTTTGAGAAAGTAAAGCTAGAGTTGATATTGTAGCCAGAGGTCAATGCCCTGAGTACCCTAACAGTTTTAGTATTTGGAAGCTGGCTTAGAAGAGATGAAGAAAATCATACCATGCCATGCTTTGCATCTGTCACACCTTTATGTTTTATATTTGAAGAACTGAACATGCTAGGTTGATAATAGGACAAGACTGATGATTATTAAGAAAAACAAAACCCCAAAGTTCACATTTTCAAATAAAGCACCTGCTTGATTCCCAACACAAATCTACAAAGTAAATGTGGCTCCCAGTGCTGTGTGGAGGACAATGACACAGAGAGGGACTGAGTTAGTTGCCTGATGGTCCAGATGTTCACCTACTTAGGGCTGCAATGTTTGTTTTTTCATGCTTTGAAGTCTTTGTTGGCTAGTGCTGATATGGTATATAATGTCTTATCTACTGACAAGACATTGTTTTTATTCTAAGCATTCCAGAAAAGTCTTATTGCAACAGAAAGCGTAAACAGGTAGAGTATTACTAAATGGAAACTAAACAAGAGAAGGCAACTAGGGATTTAAATAGAGATAGCTAGGAAGACATTAGTCAGGAGTCCAAACTGTTCGTTGGCAGGTTTTATGCAGCACTGTAGGCACACTGGAGGACTTTTAGCAGGGTACAGCAGGCACACAGCTAAAGGAAGTTATGCTTTTATTTTCTTTACAATCAGATGGGTTTTGTTGGTTTGTTACTTAACTTATTTTTTAACTTGTTTATTTGTGTTCATATGTGTGTGTGTGTGTGTGTGTGTGTGTGTTTGCTTGTTTGTTTTACTGGGGCTTGGGCCCAAAACCTACTCCTAGGTTGTATCTACAACTCAGGGTCTTGTTACATAATTCAGGCTAGCCTTCAAGCTAGCCTTGGACTTGTTGTATGGCTCAGTCATGCCTTATGTTTGTAATCCGCCTGCCTCGACCCTGCAAGTAGCTGGGATTACAGCTGTGTCCTCAGCCTCAGCTCAGAGCAAACTTACAAAATTAATTTATCCTTTTTTGTATGGTTATTTTACCCTTCCCCCTTTCCTGCTCCTCCTTCTTCTCTCATCCTTTGATTTCATTCATACACAGTCTTCTATGGAACCATGGTTATGCAATCCTCCTTTGGATTCCCAAGTACTGGGATTGTAAATGTGGTCAGTTTTCTTACAGGAAGTCTCGGAAGGTCAAATAATTCTTCCTTCAGTAAATGCTACCTCTATTCTTTCCTTTTGCATTAACTTTGGCTTTTTTTCCAAGCCTATGAGGGTGAAGATGCCTTCAACAAGGAAGTTATGTGGCATCTCACCAAAGCTACACTTGAAACGTGAGTTCCCTGCATCAGAGCTTTCCGTGGGTGGGAGTATCACATTTGCGGGTTTGTATGTGGTGCCTTTCTGCCTTGCATCCCTTCTGCACCTTCTTGGTCTCCAAGATTGCTGTTACTCCAAGGTGTGAAATAATAAAATTATATAAATAGCATATAATTTTATATAAAATATATTATTTATATATACAACTTATATAAACTATATAAAAATAAAATTATATATAGTGAACTACTGGAATGACACTCTCTTGGGGCACTATGGGTAATACTGAAGAAAGAAAGAAATTATTGAAGTGACGGCAACTCATGGTAGGATTGAAACGTGATAGTTACTACTTCAAGAGCTTTGTGACCGAGGGGTTTGACCATAGCTGTGGACTGAAAGGTATGAAGGAGAACCCAGAGGACAGGGCCCTGGAGCTCCACTCCCACTGGTTTCCCTGCTGTTGAGATACTCGTCCTGTGAGTTCCATGTCGACAAGAGTGTGTGGAGAGTCGGGGGTGGAAGTGCTGTCAGTCCAGCTGACGCTGCTTAGCACCTCCATGCTCTGGGGGAAGCAATAAAGAACAGAGCCCCACCCCCATGCTGCACATTAGGTCAGAGTGATGCTATCATGGGAGATATATAAAACTGTAACACGAGGGGACCACCTTGTTGGGGTATCTGTCCCGCCCAGTACCCCACAGTCGGCAAGCCCCAAAGGAAAATCAATCACACAGAGATCTTTATAAGTTATAAAGCTGATTGGCCCATTAGGTCAGGCTACTTATTAGTTCTTATGACTTATCTTAACCCATTATTCTGATCTATGTTAGCCATATGGCTTGGTACCTTTTTCAGCTGTCAGCTCACATGCTGTCTCTTCAGTGGTCTGCGCAGGAGTAGCTGAGGAAGTTTCCTCCTCCCTAGCCTTCTCCTATTCTCATTGCCCTGCCTCCACTTCCTGTCTGGTTGACCCACCTATACTTCCTGCCTGGCCAATCAGCGTTTTATTAAAATATGATTGACAGAATACAGATAATTCTCCCGCACCATAAAACTGCATTTGGGAAAGAAAAGGAGCCAAGTCTGAGATCACACAACTCAGAAAATTTTGTATAATTGTTAGTTAAGCAAGAAGCTAAATTGCAATGTGGGTTTTGCATTGATAAATGCCTTTAAGTAAAATGCATTTCATGCCCCTAACTCACCGAACATTCCCAGGCAGGCTGTGTGGGAGGACCTCTGTAGAGTCCATCATTTCCCTCCTGAATGGGAGCAGCCTCTGCTGATATGGCTCAGACTCCAGTGAGAACTGGGAAGATCAGAATTCAGAACGAAGGGTAATATTTCTCCTGAATGTGTTTCGTTTTCGTGTCTTTGGGAAGTTGAACTCTCCTAATCAAATCGTTATAAACTGGGACACCTGTACTCAGAGATAACATCCGTATAATTTAACTCCAAAATGAGCCAAAGTTCAAATTACTAATCTGCTTACTTATTAAGTGAAACAGCTTGCCTCGAGAGCGTGCACAAAAAAGGCGGGTGTTATGTAAAATACACAGATTCGACATGGAATTAAACCCAGGCCTTGTTCCCAAAAAGCTTTCAGTCAAATAGGATATTAACAAGCAGACACGGGGCACAGTGTGAAAAATGTCATGATAAAGTTCCCACAGGCAAAAATATTTGCAGATAAAGGTGGATGCTAAATCCAGGAAAGCTTTGGAAGGCTGAAGCGGTGGCCCCGTGCCCTGCAGAGCACTCGTGGTAAGGAAGGTGTAAGGAATGGCTAAACCAGGAGGAAGACGTGTGTGTGTGTGTGTGTGTGTGTGTGTGTGTGTGTGTGTGTGTGTGTATGTGCAAATGAATGACTCTAATATCATTCATAAACTACTCAAGGAAGCATCTCATAGCTAGAATTGATACAGAAAGGCAGGATCAATGAGAGCTGAGCCTAGGCCAAGGTGTGGACGGATTTGACACCAAGGAACATGAGATTTATACTGCTAGCCCCAGCAGGCCTTTTAAGGCTTTAAACAAGGGAATGATAGGGTCAGCTTGGCAGCTTAGAAAGATGAATATCAGTACAGACAATAGGCTAGGGAACAAAGTTGACCTATTAAGAAACGATTGTAGAAACTTGAGAGTACATACATGGCAAACAAGTGATGTTTTGGGGGAATGAAAAAAGAAGGAGGTGCTAAAGATAGCTCCAGGTTCCCTGCTCTGGGGACCTGAGGATAGACGACATTCATTGACATTGAAAGATGGAAAATATGAAGGGAGGAAACTTCTAGCTCTGTTTGGAACCTGTTGTATATGAGAAACCAAGGGGAGTGTTTAGCATCAGGTGACTGTGGAAGTCTGAACTTGCAAGAATGACTTATGGAGATTAGAGAATCAAGAGCTCGGGGGTGGCACCTGAGAGCACAGGACTGGGCTGTTGCTTGCTCTGGTGGAGAAACAGGCAAGGGCAGACAGACCTTATTCTATATTCAGAACAGAGTGAGAGATACAGGCAACAGGAAACCAAGAAGGACCCAGCAGTGAGGTGGGAGAATCCTCAGAGAAGTAGCCAACCTGTGGTGTTGAAAATTGCTTTATTCAATGTGTGTGTTTTCCCAGTGTGCATTTCACTCCATATGGAAAGAGCATTGTTTTGTCAAGCCATCTGAGCACCAGAGATAGGTAAATCTCGACGAACCCAAATGCTTAGGATATGGGAAGCTCTGGTTAGTTTTACCAGTTGGGGGTTAGTTTCTCCTGTCTCTGGTTGTCAGCACTTGCTGCTCACCATTCTATTGGTTCAAATGTACTTTTTCTTTGGCTTTATTCTCATTTTCTTGTCCTCATCTACATGTTCTCTCCCAGTTGCCTAGTGACAACCTAGTAATCCATTTCCCCAGGTACCTATTTCCCGTGTGTTCCAATTAGTGTGGCTGCATAACAGGCCACCCCACACTTAGTGAGTTTGAACAAAAAGGCTGGACATAGTAATACACTGCTGTAATTCTAGAGTTTAGGAGGCTGAGGCAGGAAGATCATGTGATCAAGACCATCCTGTACTACGTAGGGAGACCCTGTCTCAAAATAAACCTAGAGACTCCTAGCTATTTTTCTTATGATATTGGCAGGGCTTCGTGAAGAAAGTCCAATTGTTCCATTTTCATTAGCAAAGGTGACTCAAAGGTTGGTAACAAGACACCTGGGATCCTCTGGCTTTTCTCCCCATCTTTCTGTTCCCTACATACATTGAGAAACTAGACTTTTGTGTTTCACTTCAGGGCACCCAAGGTACATTCTGGAGAGGGGGCGAGGAGTAGATGGGATGGCCAAGAGAGGGAGGAAGAGAAAGGAAGAAGGAATATAAGGACCTAGAGGAGGGAGAGATTGCACCAGGGCATCTAGGGCTAACATTTAGCCTTGGAAGTCACATGGCATTACACTCACCCCATTCCATCTGTCAGGACAACTTCTAAGTTCCCTCAGGCTCAAGGGGAGAGAATACAGTGAAATAGTGTGACTGTCACTTCTTCACAGGAACGTTTGCCTGAACTCGAATTCTACAGAATACAGTTAGCTGTATTAGACAGTCATCACATCCAGAATCAGCCCCTTCCTCAAGTCCTATGAGGTCTTCTCTCTACTAAAACCCATCCCCGCTCCATCACACTCACACATTACATACTCCCTTCCACAGAAAATGCTCAAGGCTCCGAAGGAGGAAGTGAACTTACCCAACTCCTCCTAATGAATCTCTTGCCAAAACCTGTCCCAAGAAGGATAATTATCGCACAGATCACTTGTTGACTGATTTCTCAGTGCGGTCATGCATGTTTCAATCTGACAGACTGTAGAATGGGGGACATGGCAGGGAGACTTCTCTAGAAGCTTTTCAGTGATACCTGAATTCTCTCATTCAGTATGTGAGGGAACAACACAGACTTTCTCAGGACACCTCCTGCACGTTGTAACTTAAAGAATCAACCTAGGACATGAATTTCATTTTATAAGGTAGTTTGTTTTGCACTTTACTTCAGAAAATGGAATTCTAAAGAGGAGTTTAATGCTTGTGGAGATGGACTCAGGGGTTCTAATAGAGCAGCAGCTCTATCAGTGGGATTCCTGAACATTACAGCAGTTTCCCAAGTAAATGCTTGCAACCGTCAATGCATTTTTGAAAAGTAATCAAAAGTTTGGGCCATTGAACTTTTCCTTTGAAGGCTCCACATATGCATTTTTGTGATTATTTTCCGTTTTGTGTTTTTGCAGAGAATGGCTCTGAAGATATTGATATACTTCCTAGTGGACTGGCTTTTATCTCGACTGTGAGTATTTGCCAACCACTCTGATGCTCACATCAATAGCAGCATAGACAGGGCATTAAAGTTTCCAGCTTGAGATGCCAGATGGACCCCTACATGTTCATCCCACCTCTGGGTAGAACAGTCAGCTACAAAAGCCAAAGTGCAATCTGGAAGGCCAATTAGAACACCACAGGCACACCTGACTCTGACTACCCCATGTGGGCAGCTCCCTGTGGGCAGCTGCATGCTTGGCTACGGTCTCTGGAAAAGTGTATTGATGTCCGTTTGACTCTCAGGATGGTCTTCAGCTCTGTCTAGTTTCTTCTCAGTTTCATCACTGCCTAATTGGGTGGTACCTCAGTGTCTGATAGTCATCATTGCATTAACCAGTGTTCTTGCCATGTTTGCCTATGTATGGAGTGCTATAAGTTAAAGCATTTAACATCAATACTTGGAGTCCCTGCTATTCCTTCAATGTTTTTTCATGAGTAAAGAATAAAGTGTATTTTGTTCTCAATACCACTTTGACAAATGTTAAATGGCCAGGAAGCTATGCTAGGGGATGGGAAAAAAATCAGTAAACAAAAGAACAGTGTGTTTATTAGATGTTGAAAATTGTCCTGGATCTATCAAGCCAATAGCACATTGGAATAGGGTCTGAGATTTTGCTAGATGGTGTTATTCATATGGGTTTGTTAGAGATTGAAGCCAGAGATGTGTGCATGTCAGTCATAAACTCTACTGCCTAACTAAGTCCACAGTTTTATTCCAATATTTTGAAAAATTGGATTTAACACATTTTTAGTGTGAATTAATTTCTGTGGCTAGAATTGCATATGGAAACATTCAATTTTCCCCAAACCACTAACTTACATAAATTCTAAGTGTAAATACTTTTGACTCAAAGCAAGGCATTCTATGGAAGCATGGCCCAAGTTTCCAAATTCTTAAATACGCAGATATACTCCAGAGAAGGGCACAGTCAATTTTAGATGGTGGGAGGCAGGATTCTCTTTCTTCACTTTCTTCCAAACTCAAAGATAAAACTGTCTGGAAAAGACTCTTTTTCATTGGCCTCAGTTTTCTACTGTCAAGTTTGATTTTCAGGGCTATGCTGGACAGACCTGCAAAGGTGATTATCAAAGAGTTAGGAGCTGTGTTTGCTGCTAGGAAATGCTTGCTCCTGTCGTATGCCTCCCCGACAGCAGAGCTGCACAGCTCTTGCTCAGTAGAAAGAGAGCATTCTCGTCCCAAACAGTGCATGAGAGATGGCAGGACCCTTTTCTTTGCATCGCTCTGCAAACCAACAACTCCTATTTGAAGCTTGGGATTTAATCTCTTTGCTCTTTTTCCTCTTCCTGCATTCAATATCTTGTTCTCCTGGGTCAGTCTCTCCCATGACCTTCTTGCCTCCCTTGGCAACGTTCAGACTCAGAGTTATTCCATGCAAATACATATTCTTCGCCTTTCTAAAATGACAAGGATTACTCCCATCCTCCCACTTTGCCAGTTAACTTCTGTTTCTCAGTGACGCCTCCCTGTGGAGGTATGTAGCTTCCTCAGCAAGCCTTCTCTGGTTCTGCTGTTGGATGTGGATGGACCACATTATCCTGGTATATTCTTCTTGTGATATCATGTGACTTTAAGTTCCTTGAATCTGGAACTTGGATGTGTTTATTAATAATACCCTGTTGTCAGGGTTTTCTGTCTTGCCCAGTTCCCACAGTCGTTAAATCCCAAAGAAATCACACAGAAGTCTACATTAGTTATAAACTGTTTGGCCCATTAGCTCAGGCTTCTTATTAACTCTTATAACTTATATTAGCCCATTATTCTTATCTATGCCAGCCATGTGGCTCAGTACCTTATTCAGCGAGGCAGTCACATCTTGCTTCTTCTGTGGATGGGACAGGACTGCCGAGGAATGGGCTTCCTTCTTCCCAGAATTCTCCCCACCTCTACTTTCTGCCTGGTTGTCTCACCTATACTTCCTGCCTGGCTACTGACCAATCAGCGTTTCTTTAAAATATAATTGACAGAATACAGACAATTGTCCTAATTCCCCAGACACCCATCAAAATACTGGACATATGAGGTCTGATGATGAATAATGACAATGGAAAGTTTCAGTTAATGTCCACAAATACCTTCAATACATTTGGGGAAATCAGAAGCCGACACTTCAGGGTGACTGTCGTTATTTTCAGTGATATGCAGTAGAAATGAAATTGTGTGCTGTTACTAGCATATAGCAGGATTGCTGCCACCAATTCTAACCAACAGAACATCATGAAAAGAAACCTCAATCTCTATGAGTATTTCCTTAACACTCTTATTCTAGGCAAAGTTTATGTGCAGTGCCTTGCTCCTGTTTCTATCAAATCTTTTTCATTCTGGTCTCTTTGTTTGGACAATAGTGGCCTCACATATTCCCATGATATTAAGGTGCTTGTAGAGATGTGCTGCCTTGACACACAAACACCCCTTTTTTGTATTTATGGTGTGGTGGAAGGAGGCTGTACATGAATGCAGGCATATGGCTAGATATCCCTAACATTTCCTCTTTTGTGTTGCCAGTCTCTGAGCTGAAGAACCTACTGACAGATTATCTGTAGAGAGGGCAACTGAGAAATGAATTTTGGATGGAACTGAACAATGATACCCTTAGCTGAGAAGAACAGATGCCCGCAAGAGGGAGGGTCTGGAAGGATGATGTTTGACTTTGGTTTTTGACAAGTTGGTTGAAAGTTGACCTTAGAAGTGAGTCGGCGTGGGGGTGGGGGTACACTACAGCACAAGGGACAGGCTGTAGGTAAACATATATGAAAATCACTGGGGGACACGAAATAACTGAAGCTTTATGAACAAAACCTACAGGAGAGAGCACAGGGGAGGAAGCGTTATGAGGACGAGAGGAAGACAAATCTAAGAGGCAGAAATCGAGGTGGAAAGTCTATTTCATAACTCTACTTCTGACTTTTGGTCATGAAGGAAAGAGACATTCTGTAGTGTCCAGGGCCCCGGTGCTGCGGACAGAGAAGGGGGAAATGCAGTCAAGGAAGACACTTGGAGACTGGTGCACCACCTGGAGATTAGCTTCTCCATAATACAGGAGGTAGAAGGTCCATCCCAGTGAATGGAGAGTGGGTAATGAGGTTGTGTGATCTTTCTGAGAAACCCCAGGTGAAACAAGGAGATAAATACATAGTTGAAGAAAATTAGGGAAAGACTTGTTTCCAGGAACGAGAAACAGAAACAAAATTCCAGGCCACAGACTAAGTCACTAATGAAAAATAAGGAATAACGCAAGAGGGGGTGGTGTCCTACAGAGTAGGGGATTGGGAAAGAAATGAAAGACCTGACAGAACAGCGGAAGTGTGTCTCTTCCTCAAGAAATGAGGCAGAAGTGCTGACGGTCATTCACAGAAAGAAGTCAGTACCATGGTCCTTCCAGAGAACTGTGAGCTCAACTACACTCATAGTGACGCAGAATGGGCTGTGGACTTCATGAGATGAACATTGAGGAAACTATGTTGAAAACAGAATGGGTTGTCTGTGACGGTAAAATAGAAATCAGAGTAACAATGTGGACTGTAGGTGACGCTGGGATGCACAAAGTCTTCAAAGTGCTTGTGGATGTCTTCCTCTTCTCATAGGCATAGCATAAGTGACTGTGTTTCACTACAGTCTTTATTACAGGATTTTGAGAATTCCCAACAATTCATTTTGATCAGATTCATTTCCACTCTTCTCCCTAATTCTTCCCAGATCTATGTATGGTACCCATATCCACACCTTTTCCCAACTTTCCACCTCTCCCCTCTTTTCAATGGCAGACAGAGTTCAGTGTGTGATGCCCATATGCTCATTGGGGTGGGACTATCCACTGACGCTTGGTAGACCCACCAGAGGCCATATCCTAAAGAAAGAGGACCCACTAAAGAAGCAAGTGATGTGACTTTATTAGAGAAATTCTTTATTTGGTGTGGACAGAATCTGGCCCAGAAACAGAATCTGAGAGTAAGGCCCTGTCTATCCCTCCTTCGGGCCTGGTGAAGAAGGGTCTTTCAGGAGTGGAGAGCACTGCTCTGATGGCTTCAGAGACCTCCTTCCAACAACACTGAGGTTCAAGCCTTGGGTGATGAGGAGGATTCCAAGAAAAACTTGGAGAATGGAGTCATAGCTCAACACTTAAGATCACTTAATGCTTTTACATCAGCATGGCAGCTCACATCTACCTAAAAACTTTAGTTTCATGGTATTCCACACTGTCTTCTGACCACCAAGGGCTTCTGGTTCACATGTGGAACACATACATGCATGCACTCAAACATGCATATACATAAAATAAGAATGACTAAATCTTTTCAAAACACTTGAAGATATGGATGGAGACATGCGGAGATTCCCAACCACACCAAAGTGAGAGGGCAAACAGAAGGACCAATAAGTACATGTATTTGCAAGGCTAAGAGCAGAAAGAGAAACCAGGAGAGACTGTAGATTAGAAAGAAGAATATTTAGATTAGCGATTGAGGGGGAAGAAAGAAGCTGGTCTATTTTGTGTTAATTCAGAGCGATGGGGGAGATATGTGATCATGAAATAACTGTTTGGTTCTTGGTATAGAATAACCAACCTCAAGGTTTGACATACTGAACTGGGGTATGTTAAAGGTTCAGTACCTTGTGGGTGTCTATTGTTGGTGATAAATACTTAGTCTTGTTGGTAGAAAGGGTTACTTTCCAAAGTACTAGAATGAACTTTGTGTACTCATTGGAGTAAATATTCATATTAGATTTTTCAGAATTCCTATAAGATGCTAGCACCCTGCACTGAATTGTGGCTGGTGTCATTTATGACTACATAGTGTAAGTAGTGAAAAGAACAATAGAATTAAGCCACACACCCTGTAGCTATGCTTCGGGAAAGGAAAATTTCAGATATCAAGAGTGGAAAGATCTTGGCCATCATAGTTTCAGTCGTTTCATTTTATGGATGAGCACTCCAAGACCTAGGCAGACCAAAAGACTCTGAAAAAGTAACACAGCTTGGTCCCTGGCATTGTAATCTGTGGTTTAACTCTTCCTAAATTGAAAATGGTTTCTTATCTCAAATACGGCTCTTTCTGTATTCATAGCCAAGGTTGGCATGACATTGCTGACCCCCTTCCCCCAGATCAGATAATGGCTACAGCTGACAGAGTGAAAAATCCCCAAAATCAAAATGAAGTGCAGAACCTGGAACATTTTTGTTTGGCTTTGGGATTCTGACTTCCCTATGAAAATGTCATTTAAATAAGAGTATGTGTGTGGACTTTCATTTAAGTGTGTGTGTGTGTGTGTGTGTGTGTGTGTGTGTGTGTGTGTGTAAACTGACTCTTTAATATGCATATCAGTGTAGACTGACTCTCTGTTTCTAAAGGGATTAAAATATCCAGGCATGCCAAATTTTGCACCAGACAAACCAGGAAGAATTTTCCTGATGGATTTGAATGAACAAAACCCAAAGGCACAAGTGCTGAAAATCAGTAATGGATTTGACAAAGAACCACTAAACCCGCATGGGATCAGTACCTTCGTCGACAAAGGTAAAACCAGGTGACAAAGAACAGGGGGATGGGGGAGAGATGCCATAGATCCCTACTTCTCAGCATCTGGGTTATGGGTAGAGGGCAGGTGCTATTCCAACAAAGAAATGTGCACAATCTTTGCAGAAATCTTAATATGCACAAAAAACATTTTAAAACATTGTTCTGAAAAAGAGTGGATAGGAGGGATTGGAGGAAGTCACTCTTTTTCTTATTCGACTAACATAACCTGCTTGAATACTGTCCAGAGAAATCAAATATACAAACTTTTGAAAGTAGTAATATAACACTCGAAATCATAGTATAAGGGCAAGCAGAGATAAATGTTGTTCATGAAAACTGAAACCATAATTTTGTACCTAAAAATACTGCTAAGAAAGTGAAGAAAGCCTAAAGAATGACAGATAATATCTGCAAAATAATATGTCTAGTTAAGAGAGCATACACACACACACACACACACACACACACACACACACACACACACACACACATATATATATATATATATATATATATATATATATATATATATATATATATAACTGTGAGGAGACACCATGACCAAGGCAAGCTGAAGAGGAAAGGATTTGATTTACAATTCCACATCGTTGTTCATTACTAGAGAAAGAACTCAGTGCAGGAACCAGGATGTAGAAGCTGATCCCGAGGCCATGGAGAAGTGCTGCTTACTGATCTGTTCATCATAGCTTGATCAGTCTGCTTTCCTGTGTGTTTGGTACCATTCACAACAGGCTTCCACACATATTACTAATTAAGAAAATGCCTTCCAGCTGGAACTTATGGGGGCATTTTCTCAAATGAAGTGCCTTCATTTCCAATGAATCTAACTTGTGGCAAGTTGACATAAAACTATTCGCACACAACTTAATACTCAAAAAACAAATAGCCCAATTTAAACATGGACAGGTATCTGAATAAACATTTAGACTAGAAAATAGACAAATAGACTAGAAAAGTCTACAAATGCTCAATGAGATGTTAAGAGGTGTTCGACATTTCCAGCTTTTTGAGAAATGCAAATAAACTCAAAATAAGTCACTTCTTCATATCCACAAGGATGACAATAATAAAAGAGATAAGAGACTGGGCTCATAGGTCAGATGGTAACAGCACTTGGTTTCAAGCAAAGACACCCTAGTTTGAATCCTCAGCACCTACCTAAAAAACCAAATATGGTTGTTTATTTCTGAAACTCCAATATTGAGAGAGGAGACCGGTGGATCCTCAGAGTTCACTAGCCAACCATTGTAGGCAAAATAGTGAACTTCCAGTTCAGCCAGAGACCCTGTCTCAAGACAATATGGCAAAGAGAAATAGAGGAAGACACCCAGTGTCCTGTTTTAGACTTGATATCTACTCATGTGCAAACAGCCCACATGTATGCATTCATACATGCACATGCATGAGCATACACATGCACACACACTTACACGTGTTGTAAGATAAGTGTCAGGCTGTGTCCCATCACCCAGCTAGCTTAGCCCCCAAAATAACAACAGAGAAATTGTATTAATTAAATTATTGCCAGGCTCATTACATCTAGCCTCTTCTTGGCTAATTCTTACATCTTGATTCAACCCATTTCTAGTAATCTGTGGAGAACCAGGAGGTCGTGGCTTACTGGAAAAGATTCAGCATGTCTGACCTGGTGGCAAGCTCCATGGTAGCTCTCTCTCCCTGCCTTCTTTCTTCCAGAATTCAATTCTCTTTTCCCCTCCTACCTAAGTTTCTGCCCTATCAAAAGGCCAAGGCAGTTTTCTTTATTTAACCAACAAAAGCAACACAAATATAGAAGGACCTCCTACACCATTTCCCCTTTTTCTGTTTAAACAAAAAAGAAAGGCTTTAACCTTAACATAGTAAAATTACATATAACAAAACAGTTATTAAACAAGAATTACAGTTACAATATTTATATCTATTTTATCTTTCATCATAACAATGGAAAACTATAACTCTGATGAGCCATTCTTCAACTTCATCAAAGACTCCAGAAGGATATAATATTATCCAAGTAAACAAGAAGCAAGCAACTTCCAAAACTCTAGAAATGACAGAGACATCTTGCTGCCTATACAGTCACACAAAGTTATTCTGTACCATTGGGGCATCCATCTTCAGCCTATAAGACCATAGTATCCAGCAGACATTTCCATGAAGCAGGAAAATTCAAAGACAGTTCAGTCAATTTCTTTTGTATCCTGCAGAATGTTTTGCAGACTCTTTCATGAATCAGGAACCCCAAAGGATCATCTCACCTATAGGCAAGTTCTGCAGTCCTCTCTTTGTGGGTTCTTCATATCAAGTTTATGCAACAGTCCAGGCAAGAGCAGTTTCTTGCCCAAATGGCTATCAAACTCCATAAGGAGCCTCTTCAATGCCCATCTTCCTCAGGAAGTAGCTTGGTGCTGCCAGGAGCAGACGTGTCTCATTGTCATGAAAAGCCCTAAGTTATTAAAACATTTTAAATGTCATATTCTGTAGTCTTTGAAAGATATGTAGAAAGCCTATCCATCTGAAATATATCTATGCACATCTAGAAAATCTAACTAACATGACTGCAGGCTTGACTATTATTGATGATTATCTAAAACAACCTATATTTCCTAATTATACATTACATTTTTAAATGAATTACACAATCACAATACCTTAATCAAGATCATTAATACATATACATATAACAAAATTGACCTTAAATTTATATCAACAAAGCAAAATTTATACTAATGTAAATTATTCATATCTATATCATATCCCCCTTTAAATGTAAAAGAACATTTATAAATAATATTTGGGAATGTGGGCACAGATTCTTTTCTTCAAACTGCTTCGAGTTGTATGGGGGCGCTGTTAATCAGGTCTTTCATGGTGTATCCTGTGTGCTAGGTTCATCTCAGTCGATAGTTGAGCAAAGTAAGTTTTTGAGGGTATTCACAGCAACCTTTCAGGAGGGCGTGGTCTATCATACCATATCGGTCTAGAAGCAATCCACAGGGTCTCATCTTCTGTGAAAACAAAAGAAGAACCGCTTTTCCAAAGCATCATATCCTTAGACCCAAATTTTGAAGTCAAGATACCTTTATAATATACATCGTGGTTTATCTTAGCAGCCCACATAATGAGATGTGCCTCTGTACATAGCTCCTTTACAGTAAAAATAACATTTAAAGAAAATACAATAATATACATAATCCTGGCTCTCTGTGAATTTTCCTTTTTTATGTGGCTTATTTTTCTTTGTTTCTTTTAATCTATACCTATCTGTACTCTGTCTCTTTAAAGACTTTACTTTATGACTTTTTAATACTTTCTCTTTCTCCCAAGCCTACATATGTCTATCTAACACTATGACCCATTTAGAGGTCTTTTATGGCTGAATCTGTCCTATTTCATTTTCTTTAATTCTCTACTGTCTTCAAGAGCTTTTAAAATGCTAAGCTGTTAAGAATCTAAGCTGTGACAATCCCAGGTCAAATACAGGTACTGCCTACTCTCCCCGCCCAGTCCAACATGGTGGAGCCACTTGTGCCTATGAGCCGTGCGCACTGCACTGCTAGCATGGCGGAGCTGCTCTGGATGTCGGCTCCACCTCTCTCTAATTTCAAAATGATGAACGTACCATTTCTGCTGGCTCTGGGGCCACCAGGTAAGAGCCACACTCAGCACTTTAACTCTGATACTGAGCGTGCGGCACATAAACTCTTTCTTTCTGAGTTACAGCCAAATCTGCCACGCAGAGCACTGCGCAGCCTGGAAACACCTCTGTGTATGGTGGTGGGAATCCGCCATGCTCTCCCGCCTACCTAAGCCTGATCCTGCTGTCTGTCCAGGCGGGAAGAGCTGAGCCACAGGCTCAGATTCTTTGTTCCTGACCCCAAGTGGGGACACAAACATCCGGGCCCACAAATGCCATTTAACAACCACATGCAATACACACACACACAACACACACACACACACACACACACACACAGTACAAGCCAAGATGTTGAGAAATTGGGCCCCACTGTGAAATGATGGGACTGCCTTGGCAAATGTCAGTTCCAAGTATGATGGTACAATGTGACATGGCAGCTTCACTGTGTGGCATGTGAGCAACAGAACTGGAAACACCTCCACACACATGTGACTACACAAATGTCACGGCAGCATTTCTCCCAGCACCCACATGCCCACTAGCTGATGAACAGGCCGCATGACTCTCAAGCAGAGCATCATATGACAATAGAAAGAATAAGTTGCAGGTACGTGCTACGACACAGATGTACCTGGAAAGGCTATGGTACGTGGAAGAATTCAGTCACTAAAGGTCACTAATCGATTGATTCCATTTACATGAAACATCCAGTAAGCAAACTTATACAGACAAAATGTATACCAGTAGTCGACAGAGGCCGGAAAGAGGGGGAAACGGAGGACAACAGCTAAACAATGAGGGATTTCTTTGGGTCTTATGCAAATATTCTGGAATTAGGTAGTGATTATTAATGCACAACTCTATGAATATACTGAAACTCCCTGAATATTACATGACCAAATTTAATGACATATGACTCATATCTCCAGAAACTCCCCCCAAACAAGTCACACATTATCCACTTTGAAAATAACAATCTCTGATACATTTTGCTTGTTCATAGCCCTTAATACCAAACTAATTTAAATTTGTGAGTCCCTTGAGTTTGCAGGTGCCATTGTATAAAGTGGTGTCTTCCTTCTCTAGAATTCTTTGTTTCTACTTTATTCGCTAGTTTTTCCTCCTTTGTCTTCTCTGGGTATGTTCACCCTAAAAGTGTATGTCACATGCTTATTACTGGAATCTGAGGGTCAAGAACAGTGACTGAGACAGACTAGGAACTGAGCAAGCAGGTGTTCAGTGACACGTGAATATGGATTTTATGGCCAGGGCAGCTTTTAAACACCCCACTTCATACTTCTTAAAACTTCTCCATGGAGAAGCACTGGAGCACAGAGAAACGCAGCTCAGCATTGACTTGGTTGAGCAAATGACTGCTTCAGAGTGAGAAGCCAGGTGGTTTTACTTACCTTGTATCTTTTATGGGGTAAAACTAGGGAACCACATTGTACTTAATCCCCCAAATCAAACCTTCTTTTCCTGACACTGTGCTGCATAGAATGTTAGAGTTATCAGCAGCTGGTATTCGAAGATGGGGTTGATTTATGGATTAACTGCCGGACTTACATATGGGCTTCCAGAATTTGAATGTATTATGACTGACAGCCCATTTTATTGATTTATTCACCTTTCTCGATTAAGAGACTAATTCACCAGACCAAAACATTACACAGAAGACAGTCAGGATAGAGTGAGGAGAGAAAACACATTTATCTTTACAAAGCATCTCTCTCTTCTATGGAAGAAAGATCCAGCAGAAGCATAAGAATGGGTAAAGTCAGGGCAGAGTGAATGACTGCCATACTTCATCTCTCAAAAGTGTCTGCTTGGAGCCTAAAACCCAATCCACGTTCTGTTGCCAACAGCTGGACCCTATAACACAGTAAGATCAGATCAAAGGAGAGATTTCCCTGTGGGGGAGCGGCTCTCCATATTTTGCACAGAACAGCTCAGTGTGCTCAGGGGTTCTGAGTGTAAAGATTGCATGTGAGGACTCAGACTTGCCCCCATTCCATGGTTGATGTCTACCTAAAGGAACGGAATACGGACGAACACAGAACGAGTTTCACAGCGAGAGGATGGGGCCAGTCCCTCAAAAATTGAGACCCACGTCTTGTGATAAGTCAGGAAAGGCCACTACTGTCAGTCTCACAGCAGTTGAATTCCAGAGTGAAAACAGCAAGGCGGGGACATTTTTGAGGCTGGTGATATGCAGAATAATTGGTTTGTTTCCTTTGGCATATTGACTTTTCATGTCCTCTAAGTTGCTACTGAACCTCAGGTATTTGACTAGTGCTAGAAATTTATTGTGTAACTGGGGAACAATTATGTTTGCTTTAACGCAATCACATGCCCTGTGATTTCTTGAACTTCTCTTGAAATGTCGATATTTGTGACTTGTCCTAAACATTCTCAGTAGAGATTAGCTTGCTCTCAGTCATGTATTGGAAGACCATCCAGGGAAATTATAGGTGTTTACCTCCCACTGTATTGCTGTAGCCTCTCCGTAAAGAGGCTCTGCTGGTGAGGCCAGAGACCATTGCACGAGCACCTGTGTCTGCTCTGTTTCTTGGTGTTGGTAAAAATCAGTGGGTTACCCCCCAGTTTGAGTTTCAGTTTCTTCAAAACCAGAAGGATCTAGCATTGGTGTTAATGATCCGTCTAATGGACATGCAAGATACCTAAAGGAAACCCCTGCACAGTAGTGCAGGCCTATGTAGTCCCAGCCACTCCGGACTGGAGCCTAGAACTTCAAGGTAAGTCTGTGTAACACAACAAGACCCCATCTCAAGACAAAACCAAAGCCTTGAGAGATGATCAGGTTTTTAAAGAATTCTAATAATGGTTGCAAGAAAAGTATACTTGGAAATTACATCTTCCTTTGAAATTATACCCACCCCACCCCTTTTAGACAACACCGTGTATCTTTATGTTGTGAACCATCCTCACATGGATTCTACTGTGGAAATATTTAGATTCGAAGAACAACAGCGTTCTCTCATCCACCTGAAGACTATAACACACGAACTCCTCAAGAGGTAAGGAGTTAAAACCTTTATTTAAAGGTTTTATTAAACCTTTATTAAAGGTTTTATTTTTTTTTATAATTTTTTTATAATTTTTATTAAAAATTAAAACCTTTCGCTGTACTTCTATTTGCTTTACACTGCCTCTGGGGGTGTTGTTTGTTTGTTTGTTTGGCTCAGTGGGCATCCATTAACTTTTGTTTTGCAGTAGTTTTTCCTCCAGAATTTTCTAGAGCTTCCCATGGAGAGACTTCACTAGAAATTGCGGTGTTCAGTATTAAATGTCTCTCTATTTTCCAACTTTTTGAAAGCTTTTAATCCTATAAAGATGCTCAATTAGATTCCCAGCTCTAATTTCAACGTCTTTGCCACAGCAGCTCAATACTGTGTTCTCTTTAAATACCTACTCCCTTTTGCACTTGTCCGTGTAGGTGGCATTCTCAGAGCCTTACCCTCAGGTGTTAGAAACAATCTCCAGGTGGCTTAGTTCTTTGTACCCAGTTTTTAAAAGAAAAATTTGATTAAAAAAATCAAACAAATCAACCTGCGGGCACTAATAAAAATAACCTTTATTAAATGTTGATTGTGTACCAAGTGTTATGTCAAAATACTTAAACTAAATTTTCACCTAGCATTTAGTAACAAATAAGAGTAAGATGAGTCTTGTGGAAGCAGTGGGCCAGATAGGGTCACCGAGTCAGTTTGTGCCTGGCATAATCATCAAGTCGGCCTGAGTCCCTCAGGGCTCCATGCTGAGTTCTTAATTTGAAATGATCAACATTCTTACTGAATTTAGAAAATTAAAATTTTTAGTGGCTAGCCCATTTCAACTCTTAAATAACAAAGGATTTTTCTTTTATGAAGGAAGCACGCCACTAGGTACTGAGCCACAGTGGACCAGAACCTCACAGGATTCTGGGGAAGAAAACATCACTTACGTTGTGCCTCAGTCTCACAGTAAAGTGAGCTTTTCTCGTTGAGGAGTCTTACCTCATCGGCAGGTTATGGGGAGCATATGACCTCACAGGGGGAGTACTAGAAAATGCCCCTGTAGGGTTTCAGTCCTAGAACACTTAAGTCAGAGATCAGCCTGAAGTAAAAAATGGGAAATGTTATTAGTTAAATTATGTCCTGCAAAACTGTAAAATATTTTCCATCATCCAAATTTCGTACATCTAAAATTTTATATAAAAATATGTGTTTAAATTCCTACCACACATACCTCAGAATGTGACCTTACTTAAAAAAAATCTGCAGAGGTAATTACAGACAAAGTCTTACTATAGTACATATGATATATTGTTAATCAGTTAGAAGGCAGACGGATACAGAAGACCGGCATACAACAATAGATACCATACCGACACTGAGTGCGAGATCTCCAACTCAGTGAAAGCTGCCTCAATCTGGAAAAGTCAGAAAACAGGTCTTCCCACAGCATCTTGGGAACAGACTCTGTGAATATTGCTCTGCTAGCTCCTTCATCCATGTTCTTGCTCTGTAAAACTGTGTTATAAAAACTTTTGTTGTTCTAATCTGTACAATTGATGGTAGCTTGTTATGGCCGACCCAGGAAACACATACGTGAGGAAGTGTGGGAAAGCTCTGTCCAGTCAGCTGTTGCTGAGTGCAGGGATGACACAGCTGAAGCAGCCACATGAACCTTATTTCACAATGATCTCACCAAGGCAAGAAAGAGGGAAGAGTTTATCATGCAATCTCATCTCCTCTTAGTCAACGGTGGCCCAGGGGGCCTCCTCACCCTTACCATGCCCACTCGTGTGTGTTCAAGTCTATCTCAGTGGCATCCTATGTTTTGACAGCGACAAGTCTGAAGTGGGAGGCAAGTTGCCAACATAGAGGGTAAGACACTGTGAAGTGGCACCCATGGGAGATCTGTCAGACCCAGTCTCCCCAGGACTGGTTGAATTTGGTCCTTCTTGGCAGTGGAAAGAGTCAAGGGGAGCTGCAAGGTTCTAAGGAGGAGCGTGAGGGTGGTTATGACACACACAACACAAGCACCAAGGGGGAAATAGAGTCACAGGAGGAAGCCAGGGGGATTTGATGCAGGGTCCCCGGCAAGACTAATGTCATTCGTGATGTCACTGGAGATCTTTCGGAAGAAGGGGCACTTAGGATGAGTCAGGAAGGATGAATAAGCCAGTGACAGGGTACACTGCATGAAAATTACAAAATATTTCCTTTCCTTATCCAAATTTCCCTTTCCTAAAATTTTATCTCTTTAAAACAAAACAAAATAAAAATGCTTTAGGGTCATGAAATGGCTTCATGGGTGAAGGTGCTTGCAATTGCTGGCAGCCTGAGGTTGATCTCCAGGACATACATGGTGGAAGGAGAGAATGGACTCCAACAAGCTGCCCTTTGACCTCTGCACATGTGCTGTAGCAGACATGCTGAAGAACTCTCGGGTGTATACACACACACACACACACGCAAATAAATAAATCTAAGATATCTTTCATCTTTCTTTTTAATTTTCAAGCCGCATTTTTCTTTTCCCAAATATTGGTTGTATTATGACATTAAACACTTTCTTGAAATAAAGAACATAAAGGACTGGGTGTGGCAGTGCCTTTAGTGACAGTGCTCATAAAGCAGAGGTAGGCAAATCTTTGAGTTCAAGACCAGCCTGGTTTATAGAGTAAGTTCCAGGACAGTCAAGGCTGTTACACAGAGAAGCCAAAAACAAAAAACAAAACAACAATGGGAAAGAAAGAAAGAGAGAGAAAGAGAGAAATATTTATATATAGAGAGAAATAGAGAGAGAAGAAAGAAGGAAAGAAAGGGTATCCTACCTGCTTAGAGATAGACTTGGTTAGCCTATAATGACAGGAAGGAATGCCTATGGGTCAAAACTGTGTGGTTTTCTTTTATTTCCTCACTCATGCTGTATGTGCTGATCAGGACCTTGTGTCAGATTGTCCTCACATAGGTTCCTCAGAGAACCACAATAGTATGCCGTCAGAAAGATTGCTTGTTTCTGTTAAAATACCATGGATCTCTTATTGGTTCCTCAAGTTTTTCATTAAGAAGCCTGGGAAGATGGCTCAGGCAGTTAAAAAGCTTGTCTTATAAGCATGAGGACTGGAATTTGATTCTCAGAACTCATGTAAAAAATGGCTACACATGGTAACATGTGCTTATAATCCTGGTGTTGCAGAGGCAAAGATAGGTAGATGCCTAGGGCTTACTGGTCTACCAGCCTAGTCTATTTGGGAAGTTCCAGGACAACAGGATATCTCAATAATCAACAAACAAAATTATATATATACATACATACATATACTTTTTTGGTCAAAAAAGTCACATGATAGTGCTTAACTTTAATAATTAAACCTCATTCTAAAGGAAAACAAAGATATTATGTCTGTCACAGAAAATCATCTTAACATCTACAAGTCTAGAGTTTGTTAGTATTCATATTCATTTTTTATTTAAAATCATAAATAGCCAAAGTAAAGCATGTGGAAGTAAAGTCAGAACGTTTTATGGGATTAGTTAATTCATTTTAATTGAAGTCTGTCATTTAAAACTGATAAACATGGTAATCTAGGTCTTTGTCAATAATCAAGATATTCGAGTATCTTTTGAGTTTCTCTCAATTTTTCTTTCCAGTGTGAATGACATTGTGGTTGTTGGGCCAGAGCAGTTTTATGCTACAAGAGACCACTACTTTACCAGCTACTTCTTGATACTTCTGGAGATGTTCATGGACTTTCAGTGGACTTACGTTCTTTTCTACAGCCCAAGAGAGGTCAAAGTCGTGGCCCAAGGATTTAGTTCTGCCAATGGAATCACAGTCTCACTAGATCAAAAGTATGTGCTTTCAGGGTAGTTCTGCCCTTTGTCTCGAACACTTTGAAGAGCTCCTTGGCTCAAGAGTTCCCTTAAGCTCAAGCAGTCAGTGTGTGAGTGGAGTGCTCAGAGTTCACATGAAATATGTGATACTAAAAACTATTTGTTTTCTTCAATTTCAAGTACCCTCCAGGAAAAAAGAGACTTAAAAAATAATTTTTGTTCAAAATTCTTACATAATGAAATGCACTTTTTCCAATATTCTTTCTAAAAACAGGATGAATATGCAATATCTTTGTCCCTTATAAGTGCAGAAGGAAGGTATTTAACCACATCTATAAGACCATATTAACTAAAAAGCTCTTATTAGAGAAAGAAACCTGCCTTAAACATGTGATGGTGAAGTTGGCAGACTTATGATAATTCCATGAATACTTTTAAGAAACATGAACATGTTGTGGGATAATTTTCTTTGTACACTATGTATTTGTCAAGGCACCTTCTGATTGGTTTACTAAAGAACTGAATGGCCAATAGCTCACAGAAGAAGATAGGCAGGACTTCCTGGGAAAGAGAGGAAGAGGAAGGAGGAGGAATCTAGCCCTGGATTTCCCCGGCCAACTGGGAACTAGTGCCATACTGAAGAGCGGTAATGGAGTCATGTGGCAGAACATAGATTAAAAAATGTGGGTTCTTGAAGTTATACGAGCTAGTTAGAAACCAGCCTAAGCTGAAGGCCAAGTTGCCATAATAGTAAGTCTCCATGTAGTTATTTGGGGACTGGTGAATCAAAGACAGTCTGACAACAAAACTTGCTATATGAAATTTTAGATGAGAACATTCCAGGAAAAGAATTAAGACTTAAAAGTTTTAAAAACACAGATAGTCTATGAATAACAACATTTAGATTTGAGATCATGAGTGGGGATGATCTTTGTATAAAATGCCTTTGGACTGGATGTAGTGGTGCATGTCTTTAATGTCAGACCTTGGGAGGAAGAGGCAGGAAAAAAATCTATGATAGTGAGGTCAGCTTGGTCTACATAGTGAGTTCCAGGACACCCAAACTACATAGTAGAACCCTTTTTCAAAAAGCAAAAATAAATAAATAATAAAACAAAAGCAAACCACCACCAACAACAACAAAAACAAAATGCCTCTGTGCATTTTCCCTGTTTGGAAAGCACAGTGCACTTGAGCTCCAGGGCCACACCATTGTTCTTTCAAGCTCTAAGTGTGGAAGTATGGGCTCTTTAGCCTTGGAAGGATGTTCCTACCTCATTCAATTGAAAAAAAATATTGTAACTCCTAAGTAATGAGATCGACCCTATATGCTATCTACAATATTACTTTTTACTTCATGGTCACTTTTCACATTAAAAGCCTCTAGAACATTTTAATAACATTGAAATTATCACTCTCCACTCTGTTATCTACTTTTATAGCATTGTAGAAAAACATCACTGTAGTACTTCAAACCAATGTGAATTTTACATTTGTTCTCCAAAAAGAAGACAATGTCATATGTTACTACTCATTTAAACATTAAGTGTTACATGCTTTACAGGTATGTTTATGTAGCTGATGTAATGGCTAAGAACATTCACGTATTGAAAAAACATGATAATTGGAATTTAACTCAAGAGAAGGTAAGAGCTCCCCAGCTAGCCCATACAGCAAGGCTCCACGTATATTTCATATTTGATCCAGGAATGGTTTTAAGGACCCATGGCTATTTATACTTTTAGAGTGCAATCACAAAGCTTCCTAAAAATACCAGCGTCCAGTACCAGGAAGAATTGTAGGCGGGAGGGAGGGGGATGGCAGCGAACGCTGAGATAATGTCCTCACCGCTTTCTCTTTGTTGAAGGTAATTCATTTGGGAACATTGGTGGACAACTTAACTGTGGACCCTGCCACAGGAGACATTTTGGCAGGATGCCATCCTAACCCCTCAAAGCTACTGGTTTACAACCCTGAGGATCCTCCAGGGTCAGAAGTAAGTACTGATTCTGGAACTTACAGGCATCTCTGCAAGAGTGAAAATTTGCTGAGGTGATGTTGAGGGCATTTATGTTTATGTAGGTCACATTTTCATTCTAGAACTGAATAAACATTTATATATATATATTCCAGCCACCCAGACTCCCGAAATAATCACAAAGAAATCTGTATTAATTGCAATACTGTTTGGCTTATTAGCTATATTTCTGACTCTTATACCTTAAATCAACCCATTTCTACTAATTTGTGTATTGCCACATGGCTGTGACTTTAGGGCAAAATTTTGGTGCATTTGTCTCCTGCCAGTGGCTACATGACTTCTCACTGCCTCTGCTGTTTTCCTCCCAGAATTCAGTTTAATCCCCAGCCTCCCCACCCCACACCCCACCCTACCCTCAACCCCACCCCACCCCCCTGCCTAGCTGTGTTCTGCCCCACCATAGGCTGGAAGCTTCTTTATTAACTAATGGTATGCAGAGGGGAATCCCACATCAGATCCTAGCTTGGCAAGTGCTTTGCTATTAAGAGTAATGAGGAAAGATGAGTTTGATAGGTTATATTGGCATAGATGGCCCTACTGTGTTTCCCATAGAAGGCAAGCTCCGAGGAGCTGCTGCAGTGGGGCAGAGAGGGGGACATGCCTAGAACCATCTCTGTTCACACCACGGAGCACACAGCCTGCATCAAGCCTGCACAAACCTGACTTGAGTCTCTGAAGTAGATGAATTTTTATTCTCAGGTTCTAATAAATATGATAGTGTTCAAAAGTGTTTCCTTTTAAAAGATTTTTTTTTTAATTTTAAAAGTTTACCTTCTGAAGTAAAAACCATGAATTATCTGCAGCATTTAAACCAATTGCATAACACTGCATTTTCTATGACACTGAGTTGAAAAATAATAATAAATTTTAAATCTCCCTTGAATTTAACTATTACAAATTCTTTCACACATTCTTGAAATGACTTATTTTTTTTGACACTTACATTTTGCCAGATATTGTTTTAATGTTTGGGCTCTCTTGGAAAATAAAATACATACAGGCTGATAAGATGGTATAAAGCACTTGCCATGTAAGCCCAATGACCTAAGTTCAATCCTTGGTTCTACCATGGGAGGAGAGAACCAACTCATAAAAGTTATCTTTTGACCTCTGCAAGTGATGCGACCTGTATGCCTGCACCTGTGTGCCCACCTGCTCAACACACATGCATACAAAAACAAACAAAAACAATAAAATAAAACTTAAACAATCATTAAAAAAAAAACCATATCAAGACCCCAATCTTAGAGCAGAGAAGGACAAATACTAAATGAACATGTAAGTTCATGAACATATAAGTTCATTTATAAAAGGAACATATAAATTGCATAGATGGTAAGTTGTGCAGGAAAAAACAACACGGTTAGGAAGAGGGTAAAGACTGCTAAGAAGGCCTGGGCTTGAAGGTCCTGGATTGAAGACAGAAAGAGACGAGAAGCTGTGGCTTTGAAGAAAGATGACTTGTTTGTGAAGTTGCAAAACTGAGATTCAAATTTTCTTAGCTTCTTCATTGACCCAGGAGGGGTCATTTTTATTGAAGAATATGACTGTTTTTTAATTATTTTTATTTGAAATTAACAACAAAGTATATCAACTTTTGCTCTGTGTTTACAAAGTGAAAATAGGCAGTGAATACAAGCTTCCAAGCACTCACTTGCTATCTACCCATCAGCCTTTTTATATCGCTGATGCCTATTGTATGGAGATATCTAAAGCATGGCATATGTTTATGTAGTTTCATTATTAATTTTTTCACATTTACACTTATGTAAAATAAATTAAAAACACACCAACTTCGAAAGTGATAGCTTTCCCCTTTCACTTTTTGTTTTTGTTTTGTTTTTATTATTTTATTTTTTATTATTTTTTTATTATTAAAAAATTTCCGCCTCCTCCCTACCTCCCATTTCCCTTCCCCTCCCCCGCTCCTTTCCCCCTCCCTCTCCAGTCCAAAGAGCAATCAGGGTTCCCTGCCCTGTGGGAAGACCAAGGTCCTCCCCCCTCCATCCAGGTCCAGGAAGGTGCACAACCAAACAGACTAGGCTTCCACAAAGCCAGTACATGCAGTAGGATCAAAACCCAGTGCCATTGTCCTTGGCTTCTCAGTCAGCCCTCATTGTCCGCCACATTCAGAGTCCGGTTTGATCCCATGCTTTTTCAGTCTCAGTCCAGCTGGCCTTGGTGAGCTCCCATTAGATCAGCCCCACCATCTCGCTCCTCTGGTGGTCCTGACTTCCTTGCTCATGTTACACCTTTTGTTTTTTTTAAGATTTAAAACAACCCAGTTAAATGCCTGAAGAAATTCTAGGTTCTATCATGCAGTAATTGAAATAAGAGCTAAAATGTTCACCTAGGGCATAAAAATCATGCAGTTGACTCCTGCCTTTCTACGACATGGAAGCTCTCAAGCGGACAGAACTATTTCTTGGACTTTGAGATTTAGTTAGTTAGCATGTTCTGACTTTCTCCTAGATTCTTTTATAATAAACTAAAATTAATATATTTACATATATATGCATATGATTATTTTATGTATACATACATTTAATCTCAGAAGAAAAAACTAGCCTAAAAGAAGAATTGTTACCCCAGCTAGCAAGTCAGCTGCCCCTTTTCAGATGTACACCTTGCTGCCTTCCTAGGGACAGACAGAGCTTCCCTACAAGTGCCTGGCCAAAGCGTCTGCTCTAAGTGTGTCCTAGTTAAGGTCACTATTGCTGTGATGAAGCACCACAACCAAAGCAAGTCGGGGAGGAAAGGGTTTTTTGACTTGCATTTCCACATCACTGTTAATCATTGAAAGAAGTCAGGACAGGAACTCAAGCAGGGCAGGATCCTGGAGGCAGCAGCTGATGTGGAGGCCATGGGGAGAGGGTGCTTGCTCAACATGCCTGCTCAGCCTGCTTTCTTATTGATCCCAAGACCTCCTGCCTGGGGATGGAACCACTCACTATGGACTGGGACCTCCCCATTAATCAGTAATTAAGACAATGCCCTATAGTATGATATTCTGGAGGCCTTGTCTCAATGGAGATTCCCTCCTTTCAGATAATTCTAGCTTGTGTCAAGTTTACATAAATCTAGCCAGCCCAAATGGAAGGCAAATATTACTGTGAGATGATAGAAAACTTGCTAAAGATCTGTTTCTCAGGTCCCCATTTTCAAGTTTGAACATCCATTCATGCTAAATCAGCCTTACCTCTCCACATTTGCTGACCCCTCCACTTAGTTGCCTTGTGCTTTCTGTGTGAGATCCAAGCTCCATTATTTTCATGTAGCAAACTCAAAATGAAGTTGGTAGAGCTTGGAATGAAAGTAAAAATGAAAGGAAACAAAGAAAACAACCTGAAGCTTCATTCTATTGCAAGGAATCAATAAGGGGAACCTTTGCTTCATGGTTAGTTGTTTTCCTTTTATTCCTGTCTTTGTCACCCTCCACCCCTACCCTGTCCAGTGAACTTCATCCAGGCTACTTGGAAACCTGAGAACTTATGTTTGCTGATTAGCAAAGCTGGATGTGCTAATCCTGGGGATCAATAACAGCTCTAGGCAGCTGTAGGTCCAAACTCCTGCACCTACTTCCTGTTTCTTAGCTGCTTCACAGATATGGGGTCCTTCAGCAGTGAAGACTGCCACCATCTTGACTAGTAGGTTGAGTTAGTTGACTGGGTGCCCATTAGTCATCTTCTCCCGGGATTCTGTCCCCATACTATAGGCTCAGTCAAAGGCACATTCGCAGGCAGAGAATTACTGTCAACTCAGGAGTTAGACAAGTGTTTATAAGACCCAAGTTTCTTCTTCAGGGATGCCAAATTATCAAACTGCTGAAGGTCTCTATAGAGGAATTTGACTAATGTTAACAACTAGTCCATTATCTTGCAGAGATGTTGTTAGGACAGTAGTACCGTTGTAGAAGAAAACTTAATTCACATATACTTCCAAATTTTAGCTTAGTGGTTTCTGAAAGTATTCATTTGCTCCGGAATTCTTGGGAAGAGAAATCTCTCTAGATAGCTTTTCTTGGATACTAATGAGTGACCTTCTCTTGACAGGTACTACGCATCCAGGATGCCTTGTCAGACAAGCCCAGGGTGAGCACACTCTATACCAACAACGGCTCTGTGCTTCAGGGCAGCTCTGTGGCTTCTGTGTACCATGGGAAAATGCTCATAGGCACTGTGTTTCACAAAGCTCTGTACTGTGAACTCTAGATCTTTTTCAAAAGTCTTCATACTTTTCATATTTTGCACAAGTAAAATTACAGTTATATGCTAAATGGAACTATAATTATTTGCAATTACCAGAAAAATATGTATGACTTTTCTTATGGAGAAAATAAAAGGAGTACAGAAACTTACACCTATGAAATCAAGAGTCAAGTTAGTTACTTAGGCTTGTATTTCTTGGTGACTGTTTAGCAAAATTTTCTCCCACAACTGTGATAATCTAAGTTGCTGCAGTCCAGACTAGTGAAAAGAGCTAATGTTTAACTACTTACCATTCTTATTCTCATTGCTCTCTTGGGTGGGACACTATCTTCCAATCAAGTATTCCTACTTACAATTCTCATCTTGAGACCCCAAAGCCTGCCTTGCACTTGGTTTTGCCCCAAAATATAGTCATACAGGGGACACGATTTTGAAACAGACAAGACAAAACAAGCCTCGTAGCTTTGATATAGACAAGCCTCATCAGCTAGCTTAGTGCTGATGTGATGGAATAAGACTTTATTTATACTGATACTTCCATTGTGAGTGTAACTAATCTTGGCTCTGAATATAAGAAGGGCCTTGAGACAGACATCTTCAGCTTTCTCTATTAGTAACTCAATAAACATTTAATAAGCATGCCAGCTGACTGGCACCAATAAGTCTAAAATGAATAAAATTATTATGGCCAAAGGGCATGTTGTAAGGACAAATCTAAACTTAATTTGATAAGAATAAATAAAGACATTGCTTTCTTGTTTAAAAAAAAGACTACAAAAAGGTGACTCTCCATCTAAAGTCAGAGTAAATGTAAACTAGCTCCACAGTTGACTCTGAGAAGCCCAAAGGCTAAGTTGGCTTGGCGCTGAGAAAAAGAGAAGGGAGAGATTGGATAGGGTGAGAACTGATGATCACATGCCTCCATCATTCAAGATGAAGCTTAGATTGTAACTGAAGGGTCAGAACAGATCTCAAGTCCTGAGAAGTTGAGCGTATAATGGTAGTTACCAGAGACCGAGAGAGTAGGGGTTTTCTGGTAGTGGAGGGGGATGCTAATCATTGGGTACAAAGTTATAATTAGATAGAGTGAAGGAATTTAAGGGTGTTATTACCCAAAGAGATTACTATAGATAACAAAAATGTCCTCAATATTTCAAAAATATAGAAGAAAGGATATCGAATGTTTTCACAACCTAGTAGAATGGCAAATGTTTAAGGAGACAGATATATTTACATTGACTTAAATATTATACAAAGTATAATGCTTCAAAACGACACCCAGTAAACCATATATATGTACATTCTAAATTTTTATATAGCAATAAAAGTATCAAGTTATGAGTTCACTTATGCCATGTTAGTGAACTATTACTCACCTGCAGAAACAAATGCAGGTCCCCTTGTGACCTTATACTATGTGCTAAGAATATCCTACAAATATTTTCCCAATGAAAAGAAATAGGCATTCATGAAAACTGAAGAGAAGGCGTTACATAAATAAGAACGAAACAGTGGAAACAAATGCACCATAAATAGGCCTACAAAGACCTTATATTTACTAGAATGATGACATTCAGAATTGACAACCATACTTAAAGTATAATAGAAATAAAAGACACTCTTAAACTCAGAGTACAATAAACTAAAAGAGCTGCCCTAACGGACCTAATACACACTTGGACTAGATAAAACAAAACTGAAAATATTTAACTCTTAACGATAATGAACAGAAAAATCTAAGAGAGTTCACAGAGATTCTTGCAGTATGAAGCATACATTTTTCACTATCTGCTTTCAAAGCACCAGGAAGGTCTCTCTTTACTGGACAGTCTGGTAAGAATGACTTCTAGGATACTGATGACCCCAGGCAAGTATGTCCTTGGAGAGTCACCCAATGTCCATCAGTAAACCTCCTAAAGGCAAATAATTTGTTACCTGCTGAGGTTATGCAGGCTCCAAGAAAATACAAGGTCACACGATGCTCAGATAATGTAATGGATGATTGAATGAATTATGTGTTGAGTTTCTGGAGAATAATCTAGACTAGCTTTCAAGTTTTCCAGATCGTTTGTTTAGGAAATATATGGTTGTATGAGGTACTAAGAACAAAAGGCCAAATGGGAAGGGAAGTGGGTGAGGAAAGGGGGGAGGGTGGGTGAATTTAACTAGAGATGAGCCAGAGAAGGAGAGTGAAATGCAGAGACAGACATCTGAAAGAGATAGGGTAGCTAAAGTAAGCTGACAACACTTGTGACAAATTGGAATCAGAAGAAAAGAATGAGAAAAGAATTTAGAAAAAATACTTAAAAGTAATCATATTGCAAATTAGAAATATATACCATATCTTGATAAAACTGTAGAATATCAAATCCAAAGACTTTAAAGAGACTGAAAGGTGAAGGGGGCTGATTGTCATGAATCAAAACAAACTTAAAAGAGGAAATATTGCCATGGGCTAAAAGGAATCCCAGAAGACACAATGACTTTATAGCTTCTTGTTTTGTTTTTAACAGATTCACCTTTAATTTTTATTTCTGTGTCTATGGATGCCAAGTATGTGTGGAGGTTTCAGAGTCCAGGTATCAAATCCCTTGGAGATGGAGTTACAAGTAACTGTGGACAGACCAGTGTGAGTGCTGGGAAGAGAACTTCGGTCCTTTACAAGAGCAGTATACATGCTTAACCACTGAGCCCTTTCTCCAGCTCTGACAGAAACTCGCATGGCCACCCTGCAGAGACTGCTCAGTGGTTAAGAGCACTGGCTGAGGGCACGGATTCCAATCCCAGCACCCACATGGCAGCTCACAACTGTCTGCAGTTCCAGGAGATCCAACACCCTCACACAGACTTGCAGGCAAGCAAAACATCATTGCATATAAAATAAAAATAAGCAAATCATTAAAAAAGTTTAAAAAAACTAAAAAAAATTAATGGTCACCCTGTTTATAATAAAATCTTGAAATAAAGGGAGATTCACAGAACTACAAGGATGAAAATATAAATAAACTCTCATAATAGAGCACTGATTTTAATTGTATTTACTAAGTATCTATTCAGACAATTCTCAAATATGTAAGTGGAATAAAATATAAGTAAGCCTTATCCAGTAGAGTTAACATAATACAAACTTGTGCCAAACAGTTGAGGGCACATATTTTTTCTCACCTACAAAGAACATATATAAATATAGATTCCATACTGAACAACAAGACAACAAGGTCTGCTGATTGATGACAAATCAACAGTTTGGCTCAATTTTCTAAAAATCATACAAAGTTGCCTTATTTTGAAATTAAGTAACATTTGCAAATAACACATGAGCCAAAGAAGTTTTAGTAAAGAAAATGAATGGAAATGATTGGAAAATGTGATTTGAGCTGGGACTGCTGGCAAATGCCTGTCATCCGTACATGGAGGCCCCGCCAGTCCCAACTTCCTGGTGTTCATATCCGGGCTAAGTCCCCTGCCTACCAAAGATGGGTGACCTATGCAACTAATAGAATGTTCCAGAAGTGCTGTCCAGAGACTGTAGAAGACATCACAGAAAACCTTGGTCATTCCTGCTTGCTTATGAGAACTACACATCCCAAAAATTTAATTGCTTTACGAAACTGTGTTCTAGATTAAATTGTTAATGATAGCTAGAGAGACAGAAAATCAACATATAATGAAAAAATTTAAAGGCAGCTATAGAAAAATTCAACAGTAGCTACATGTTTGTTCCTTAAGAAGAACAAAAGTATCTAAAACAAAAGATAATACATACTTGATGAGATAAACAAGAAAAAAAATTCTCAAATGTGTAACTTCAAAACTGAAAAATAAAATGTGCAGATGTCAGGGGCACTTAGAGAGACAGAAAAATTGATAAAATCTTTTATACCAATGAGCTTGAAAATCTTTTATGTGAAAATAGCTAAAAGACACAACTTTATTCACTACTGTTGAATCCGAAACAAACAGAATAAAAATTCAGTGCCTAAAAATGTACATCTATTTCGGCGGCCCCCCCCCCTCTCCCTCTTTTGGTTTTTCGAGATACGGTTTCTCCGGAGCTTTGAAGCCTGTCCTGGAACTAGCTCTTGTAGACCAGGCTGACCTCGAACTCACAGAGATCCACCTGCTTTTGCCTCCCAAGTGCTGGGATTAAAGGCCACAGTTCAGCATGTATTTCTCTTTTTAGGTGTCCTCAGGGGACTGCATCTGTTTAAGAAATGTATTAATATTTATTTCTTAAGCATCTGTCAGAGGACAAGTGTAGGAGTCAGGTCTCCTCTGCCATGAGGGTCCCACAAGTTGAAGGTTGTCAGGTTTGGAGGCATGCACTTTTACCTGCCCAGCCACCATTCAGACTCCTAGACGCTCTTCTTGGTTACCAGGTACCATACTTGTTAGTCGCCACAGGAAAGAGAAGCCACATTAAAAAGGCCTACTGAGGGAAAGTCTTAAGATATTTTTATTTTATTTTGAAGTAAGGTCTCATGTTGCCTAGACTGATTTTGAACTCTCTATATGGTCGTGGATGACCTTGAACCTCTGATCCTCCTGGTCACTATTACCCAAGGACTTCACCTGGAGGTGTGTACCACCCGTGAGTGCCAAGGATTGAGTCTAGCACCCTCTGCAAACACTCTACCATCTGAGCTACACCTCTAAGCCTTGTGGGAAATTCTTTATGAGGGCACTTGGTATAAAGGCAGGACTCTTATAGGAAACAAAACAAAATAAGAGGATACTTCAGTGTGATCAGTGGGTGGGTGAAGTGAGGTGGTGAAAGGCCAGGGACTCTTTTCTCCCCAGGTTTTGCGAGCATATTTGCTGAAACAGCTACTTAAAAACATTTAGCCAACATGTAACCATTCAATAAAGAGACCATGGTGGGAACAATGATTCTTTTCCTTTCTTGTTTTGTTTTATTTTTGAGACAGTTTCACTGTACAGCCCAGGCTGGCCTTGAACTCTCAGAACCTCCTACTCCAGCTTCATTAGTGCAGAAATTACGGGCATGCGCCATCACCCAATTTGGATTTCACTCTTCATTTTCTCATCCAACTTGAAGTCAGAAGACAGGGGCTTTTGGTGGGGCCCTTTAAGGCACTGGACACAGGTCAGCAGGGAGTCCATTACACAGTAACTTTAGCAGGGCATGGTCTCCTTCATGTTGCTGCTTCAATCTGTGGGTGATTGCAATTATCTGAACGGTGGGAGCCAGGTCACACTATCTGTGGTCCCAAAATGGGAAGAGAAAAATGAGAAAAGATATAAAGAAGCAATATAGCCCAGAACCAGAGATGGTATCCGTCACTTCCGCTTCCCTCTGGGTGCTAAAACCCAACTACATGGCCATCCCTAACTGACAGCATAGAGAGACAGGAAGTGTCATACAACTAGAGAGAAACGTGCTCAATGAGAGGTACAGAATAAATTTAGGGATTAATTCATCTGCATCTCACACATTCAGTTTTTCCTTCTCACCAAAGTTCCATCTAATGCCTATCTGAAGATAGCTCAAAGTTCAAAACCCCTCTATGATGTTCTGATGTGCATGTTAGTTCCAGATGTGGCTGCAGGTACAAGGTTAGAAAATAGAAACCTTGTCTCCAACATATCCAATCGCAATAGTTGAGTGTGACCTCTAAAGCTACAGCAGTCTGTTCTAACAAAATGAAAAAATGAGTACATTCAACAATTTGCAGTACCTAGCAACAAGCCTGTCCCATCATAGAGAAACTGAAATGTTTCCCCATCCTAGCCATGATCTGTTCTCCAAGGTTCTCTGCAATTCCAAAACTCCAAATATTTTCAGGTCCATTATGCTTCAATGTAGAATCTGAAGAGGATCTTGGTTGGACTGGATTTAATAGCCTGCTTTCTTGAGGTGTCTGTGAGTGTCAAGCATGTCTAGGCTTGCCTCCCGTGTAGCTGCTTCCGAAATACAAGTACCTTGGAAACAGAACAGGCATCTAGTCTGTTCATTCCGTCTAGTGTCCGTGCCAACAATGGCGCCCAGATTTCATTGCAGAGCTATGCTCTGGCTTTAGTGGTTGCTCTCATGATCGGTTTCCTATTTCCTTGTTTAAATTATATCTCCTTGAAGGCTGTCTGAATAAAGCCTGTGCAGAAGAGAGAGTTTGCTTTGTTTTATTTCAGTTGTTTTTATTGAGCAATATATTTTTTTCTGATCCCCTCCCTTCCTCCTCCTTTCCCTTCTTCAATAGAGGAGCATTTAGGTTATTTCCAGGTTCTGGCTACAACAAATAATGCTATAAACATAGTTGAAACATGTCCTTGTGGTAAGATTGAGCATCCTTTGGGTGTATACCCAAAAGTGGTATTGCTGGATCTTGAGGTGGGTTGTTTCCTAATTTTCTGAGAAATCTCCATACTGATATCCAAAGTGGCTAAACCAGTTTGCACTCCCACCAGCAATGCAGAAGTGTTCCCTTTACCGTACATGCTCCCCAGCATAAGTTGTCATCAGTGTTTTTGATCTTGACCATTCTTACAGATATAAGATAGAAACTCAGTGTCATTTTGATTTGCATTTCTCTGATGACTAAGGATGTTGAACATTTCCTTAAGTGTCTTTCAGCCATTTGAGATTCATCTGTCGAGAGTTTCCTGTTTAGGTCTGTACCCCATTTTTTATTTTATTTCTATTTTAGATATTTTCTCTAGTTTTTTTTTTTTAGCTTTTGTCTTGATCATTTTATTTTACTGTTTTATTTGACAGTACTGAGGACTGAACCTAGAGCCTTATTCATCTTGTTCATGCTAGACAAACACTCTACCTCTGAGCTTCAGCTACAGCCAAGATTTCTCCCCTGTATTCACCAGATCTTACCTGAGTCCATAGCTTTCTCGTAGTCCTCTGAGAGAAACATCAGGCAATAGCCAGGCTGGCAGACATTCTGATGGTTCTCTGTGGACGTGACCAGCCTCTCACATCCCTGCAGGCTGCAGCTGTACTGCTGTGTTGTAAGGACAAAACAAGGATCTCCAGTTTTGCAACTATGAGACCCTTCGGTTCCTCCAGCTCCTCTTTGAACTTGTGTTTAAAGTTTTGTAGAATCCCACTTCTAGGTTCAAATTCCTATATATTTCAGCTCACCTAAAGTGATTGAAACTGAGACATCCTTAAATACAGAGACTTAACAGAATACAGACATTGCTAGATGATCATGCTGCTTTAGATGTAGACATTGCTAGATGATCATGCTTTAGGTACAGACATTGTTGGAAGATCATGGTATTTTAGACAAGGGGAGGCCAGGGATGTTTGTTTTCTGGACTGGACCCTTAATTCAATCCAGTATTAATTGTGTGACTCTGACCTCTGAGCTTCAAGGTTCTATAAATTTAGTTAATATAGTAGTTACCACTTACCATTAGTGACTACCATTTAATAAACCTAAAATTGAGATAACAATAGTAGCTACAGCCTATAGTTGGTTGAAGGATTAAAAATAATAATAGGATTTATTATATGAAACTGGTGACTCTTGAGCAACATAGAGATTTCAGGGCCAGCTTTGGACAAGACCATGCCTCAAAGTAGAAAGAAAGAAGGAAAGAAAGAAAGAAAGAAAGAAAGAAAGAAAGAAAGAAAGAAAGAAAGAGAGAGAAAGAAAGAGAGAGAGAAAAGAGAAAAGAAAAGAAAAAGACTGAGAACATAGCTCAGTGGCCGAGTATGTCTATGACACACACAGGGGTGGTTCAAACCTCAGCACTATGAAAGAAACAGATTTTCAAGATCCCAAATGACTGTTTTAACTCGTTGTGAAAATTTTGGTCTTAATGTCCAACGAGGACATTAAGAGTTTCCCATTCAGTTATCCTGTAGGTCAATGCTATTAGCTTCGAGATCGAAATCAACTGATTTTGATTTCCCAGCTGGGTGATGGTGGTGCATGCCTTTAACCCCAGTACTCAGAGGCAAAGGCAGGTAGATCCTTTTTAGTTTGAAGTTAACATGGTCTGCAGAGTGAATTCTAGGACAGCAGGGCTATAAAGAGAAACCCTGATG